TTTTTGCCTGCTACTATAAAGCTCTAAAACCAGTAGAAGAATTTTAAAATTATCTATTTCATCCGTCTAGTGATGCCCAGGTGTATTTCAATGCCAAAATTTAAACAAGGGTGGTAATAGTAATATTTTTTTATGGAAGTTTGCAACTCACAAGCTATTTATTTAACAAAGTCGGTAATTTCGACATTATGGGAGATATCGCGTCCACAAAATCAGAACCAAAGTTTGATTCAGAGTTGATGTCTTAACTGCATCCAATCTCAAAGAGGTATGAAATCCGCACCTTTGGAATACCAATGAAGTAAAAATGCAGCTCCACAATAAGTGTCGATATCGGTTCCTTATTTTCCCGAAATTGCGTGAGTCAGATTGTGTTGCGGACCAACGAAATGACAAGGAACTGCTCCTCCTCAGAACGTGCCTGATATTATTCAAGGTCACTAATCGATTTGCGACCTTTTGCAACAGTTGGCGGAGTTTACTCCGGGAATGTCACACGAAGTTCATCCAACACCTGACCCCCAAGGGCGAGAGAAAGAGAAGGGTAGAGAAGAAGGCATACGGTCGTGCAGAGAATCTCGTTCCAATGTGTCGTTCTTCTTGTACGGTTGTACGTATCTTCGGTTGTGTAGCATAGAGGTCCGAATGTCTCGCATAAATCTTCGGGATAAAAACTTTAAAGTGTCGTAAACACCTCGTAAATCAAACGGGACCAGCTATTGATCAATTCCCGTGTAGGATGATCAGAAATTGAACAAAGTGAAGCCAAAACCATGTCCGTTCGTTGGATACACACTTCACCTCCACGGCCATTAATTTTGTTACGTTTTACTTTTGTGACAAGACCACAAAGGTTACTTTTTGATGAAAAAGTTACCTATACATTCACTAGGGATATTATCTACAGTAGTTTCTAAAAGTATGCCGATAATTCAGTTGCAATAACTATTTTATTAATTGTAAAAACTCAACCGACGTTTCGCCTGCTAATATGGAGTTTTCTCAAGGATAAAATATAAATAGCATGTCTACACTATTGAAATAGACCCCTTTTTTTTAAGCTCATATTGTGGTTGTTTAGTTTACATACGTGACGTCGTTACCAGGGCCGTACTTAGGACACTAATGTACTATTAGTGGAACCCGAGGTGCAATCTCATGAACCAATTTACGAGGGTGGATTGATAAGTTTCCGGCCTTACCAAGAGATGACGCCACTAGGCCTACCTTGAGGTGACATTCTATAGTACCATCCTTGGATAGCTTGTAGCTATAGTTTCAGCCCGATCTCCTTGCTAGTGTAGGTTTGACAGCACGCTGAACAAGA